GTGGAAATTTGGCACAAAGTTATGAAAAAAAGTTAATTTTCTAACACTTAGAAAAAATTCTAAGTCTTAGAATTTTGACTTTTAAAAAATAATTTTCAATTTTCAATTTCTTGATGAACAAGTTTCATATTTTGACATGTCTTGATGAATTATGATCTTTGAAACTCAATTTTGATCAAAAAGTAAAACTTTGACTTTTCAGTGTACAATTGACTTTTCATCAGTTGACTGAAACTCATCTGTCAATCCAATAATCTTGAGATATGATTTGAACTATGCAATTAGGTCAAGATGGTGCATTTTAATCCTTGAGATCATGTCTTAAATCAATAAGTTATTTACTTGGTCAAAAGTCAAAAATTGAACCTCCTCAGTCAAAACCCTAATTTTGACTATTTTGCCCTTTTGATGATTTGATCAAATTTCTTGAGGAATTGTGATCCAAACTTGATCAATTGACATATATGAGTTCATAATGTTGATATGGATCAAAAAATATGAAATTTGACTGTAGGTTGACCACAGTTGACTTTTTATCCAATACAACTGATTTTAGGTCATCTGATTAAATGACTGAGCAAAAATGTGATCCAAGACTTGAAACTTGACATGAGAAATATTGAGGGTTCCTAATAATCCATGAAAGTCATATGGGGCATTAAAAGTCCATTTGTCCCTGTGCAAACTCAAACCCTAATTTTCAGTTGTCAGTGGTTGAGGAGGTGTCTTGAGCTGATTAAACCCTGTGTAATCTTGAATCAATGGAGATCTTATGAGATATTTCTTGAGAAATGAGAGGGAAAATTTTGGGGTAAAACAACATCATTTCAACATAAGGGTGAGATATCACAACAATATAAGAGAATGTATAATAATAAGTATACAGAGAATATAATCATGCACAGTCATACATTCCACATCTCACACATTCACAACATCGACAACAACCATATTACATATTGCTTATACAATCACACATAATCATCCACACATATCAACCATCATCACGTAGTATATACTTCAATCACACAACTCAAACATCATGTTAACAACAATGCAATGCAATGAGACCGAATCACAGACTCAATGCATGTGGTACCAATATCGCTCTCTAATCCACGCTATCTAGGACCAAAGCAACCAATATCGTGAACAATTTGGTTCACATCGCTCCCGATCCATGCCATCTAGGATCAAATCCAACCAATATCATGAACAAAGAGGTTCATATCGCTCCTGATCCACGCCATCTAGGATCAGAGCCAATAAATAAGACTAAAGTCCATAACATGAAGTGCATGTGACATAACCATGCAACAAAATAAAACACGTTGATATCTACATCCATTAATGACTCACCATTAATGCCACCAGTTGTCTACACATGCAACATACAAATCATACAACCCCAACAACATCATACAACATTATTACACACAATTCCATGCACATATCTCAGCATAATAGACAAAATTGCATACAGAAGGGCATAAGCTCATAACAAATAATTAACCATTGTGTTCAAAGTATTTTTATATGATAAAAAATATTTTTAGCTTCCCCTAGATTCAATCGGTGCGTCAAACGGAAATCGGAAACAAAAGATACAAATTTGCAAAGTTTTAAAATAAGTCTGCCCCAGTCTACTTGTGTGAGGCTCACCCGGAGAAGCAGGATGAAAAACCAAGTGTCGCCCGACGACGCAGATGACTGCCCAATGCTACCTCATGGCCTCACGCTCGCCCTACGACGCTGAGGCGCTTCGCTTATTTTCCAAGAGCACTCAATTTTCCCTCTTCTCTCGACAACTGTCTCGCCCGATGCTGCTTGGGCGAAGACTCTCGCTCGGTGACACTTACGACTCACTCGGTACTGGCCTCCTGACAGTAACATTGCTATTGCGATTCCTACACAGTTCCTCCTCAATTTTATATATTTCAATCCCATTCAGTCCAAAGTACTTAGAAATTCACCATATTATCACATATCAATAACAACACATCAACATACATGTTACACGCATCAAATCATGGTATCTCAACATTATATTTTTATCAATTTCATCACCAAATCATCATATTATCACATGAATTTAATCACACCCAAAATTCTATGAGCAAGAACACACAACATTTATGGCAGTCATAAACCCTAACATATCCATCATTATATGATACCCTTAGAAAGTTGGAACCCCACCCTTACCTTGGATTGACGGTTCCTAAGATTTAACAATGGATTCTCTTTCCCTAGCCTCTTGGTGCACTATTCTCCTCTTCTCTTCATACTCGTTCTACGATATGACTTTTTCACAAAAACCTTCCTTTTTCCTTCTTTTACTACTTTAACCCTTGGACCCCTAATATCTTATTCCATTTATGCCCTTCTACATAATAACAACTAAAATAATTATTTAATTACTATTATCACCATATTATTCTAATATTCTAATTTAATTTATAATAGTAGTAATAATCTCCTTCCACCCCTAAGTGTCTACATTATTAGTCATACACCCCAAATACCTTAACATCAATAACTTCTAAGGTAACTATCCCACAACAAGGCATAACATCATAACAAAAATGCTGACAACGCATATAAATACTTAGCATCAAATAATTAATTTATTAAAATAGTTCAATAAATAATCAGGGTGTTACAAATATAATGCTTACAAACGCGAACAAAGTCCTTGTTACTAGCTCCACGACAACTCCAAAACATAATCTTAATTTGATCTTGATTCATAAAGACATTTAATGATTGATTGTCACCCCTTGGATGTCTCTTGGCGTTTCTTTTAAAAATTCATTATCATATTCGTCCTCTAAAGAGCTTATTTCAACATTTCCCCCCGTTGGTGTCTCCATTACTCCTTTACTAATAGTTTCCTCTAAAGGGGGGAGAAGTTTGATAGATGTGTTTGGTTATTCATCAGAATACATTTATTAATTTTCTCCTTGTGCTCTTAAGGCTTTTGGACCAAGTTTGTCCAGGTTATTACGCCTATTTCTCGTAGCCCCCTTCCTCTTTGACAACACCTTTTTCCTTAACACAAATGTATTCTCTTATTTTTAATCCAATAACAAGTTATATAACTTCCCCATCTATCATTAGGTTGTTCATTTCCTACAACCTGTTACTTCGTGTTGCTCCTTTAAAGTTGACTTTTTGGATTCCTCAAGACGCCGCTATTGAGAGGGTTTTAACTTTCTTTTTTTCCTTTTTCCTTTTTCTCTTGTCCTTGCTAATAACTCCTTAATTTTGACTCAAATGTTGGCTCTCAACATCCTTTGGGTCTTCTTCTTCCCCAATGGGTTCCTCTACTTGGATGAGGATCTGATCTTTTGTCTCGTTGTCCTCCATAGGTTCGTTCATGATTCTACTTTGGCAAGGAATCTAGATCCCTTTCCACTATTTTCTCCCATAGCTTTCAAATTCGTTCCTACCTCAGTTTTCTCTTTCAACTCCTTTCCTAGCTCATACTTTTTCTTTTGAATTCTTTTGGTTTTCTGGACTACCAACCAAGGACTAGTGGCCTTATCCTCCTTTGCCCAAGTATTGTCTCCCTTAGATTTTTCTTCTATGTCCTTGGCCCCTCTAACTTCAGACAACATAGCTTTCTTCTCAGTGCATCCACCTGTTGAGTGACCAAATCTACCACACGATAAGCTTAGAAGATATTGATAGTTCATAGTTGATAACTCATAATTATTAAGTTAGTTAAGTATTTGATAAAATAATAATTTTAGTAATTGATAAATGTACTCGTTTGAATTCTTGAGACCTCCTTGCCTTTCTTCTTGAAATTTATTTAAACTCCATCTTTTTGCATTACTTGAGGCTACAATGCTTGCTGATTTTCTCTTTCGGTGCCTTGTCAATTATCGTCACCTCATAATGAGCTCAGTAGATCCTCAATCTTCATGATCTTGAGATATTTAGATCCTTGTACTGCAACAATATGAAATTAAATCTTGATGTTAGGGATCTCATTACCTTTTCAACCACTTGATGCTTAGTGATTTCTTACCACAAGTCTTCAATTGATTAACTAAAACAATCAACTTTAAGAAATAATGACTGATTTTCTGATTCTCCCCCATTTGCATCAGTTCATATCTTCTCCTTAGTGATAACAACTTCACTTACTTCACTTTCTCTCCACCATCATGATACTTATCTAACACATCTAATGCTTCCTTTGATTTGGTGGCCTTTGATATCTTCTCAAAATGGTAAGAATCTACATTCTACTGAATGTAGAACAAAGCTTTGCAATCCTTCTTTCTTGATTCTTTAAAGGTTGTTCTTTGAGCATTAGTATGATCTGCACTTTTCTTGCATGATTTCAAGCACATCTTGTGCTCCAAACAATGATTCAATTAAGACATCCACCTTTCCTAATTGCTTCCGTGAAGAGTCTGGATATTGGTTGAGAAACCACCATTTGCGTTCGTCTTTCTTTTGTTTCAAGAAACTTCTGTAAATTTTCTTCACTGTGTTTCCCACTATTTTCCTCACACTTCACTCGTATTTCCCTTACGGATCAATACCAACTCACTTTGATGTTAGAACCAAGTTCTAGTTGTCAATTAATGGCACACCGACATGTTACTTGCAAAACAAGTAACATAAAGTAAAGGAGTGAGAAAAACAAAAGAGAGAGTTTGCTCAAAAATTATTTTTCACTTAAGCTTCACACATGCTTAAGAATATTGCATTATATGAAAGGCATAGGAATGATTGGTTTTATAATTGCTTGTGATTCAAGTAACTTACTTAAATCAAGCTAACCAACTTAACTAACTACCTAACCAACTCTTAGTTAATTATAACCCTCATTTAAAATTATTACACCACATTCCATCTTTAAATAGATCTCACAATTTATTTTGGAAAATGTAGAACATCCTAACACATATCAATCACACCCAACTTATTCAAAAGCATTCAACAAAAGGGTTCAAAAAAAATGCAATAAACAATCCAATCAACTATATAACTGGAGTAATCAAAGGCTTATTTGAAAAGAAAGCTTCCAAATTTCGTTCCACAAGTTGGCAAATACCATTGAAAGACCCTGAAGTTACGACAGCTGCATGTGGCGACAGAACAACATTATCCAATGAAAAGAACTCTTTAGGAACATGAGGCTCATTCTCAAACACATCCAAACCAGCCCCTCCAATCTCACCTTCAGTCAAACACCTTAACAATTCCTTTTCATCAATGAGACCACCTCTTCCAACATTCACTATAATCCCACCTTTTCCCAATGCCAACATGACTTCTTTGTTCACAATGTATCTTGTTTGGTCGTTTAGCTCACAACAAAGAATAAGTGCATTGGTGTTGGTAGCAAGTTCTAAGACAGTTGAATAGAAAGGGTATGAAACTAATGGTTTTTTGTTCTTAGAATTGTATGATATCATGCAATTGAATCCTTCAAGCCTCTTTGCAACTTCTGAGCCAATCCTTCCCATACCAACAATTCCAATCTTTTTTCCTGTCAACTGAAACACCATAAACTTGCTTAATATCAACTTTAAATCAAATTAATAATTAGCCTCCCAAATTATCTTTTAATAAAAATAATACTTTATCAAACACTTCAATTAATCTATCATATCATATCATATATATATATATATATATATATATATATATATATATATATATATATATATATATATATATATATATATATATATATATATATATATATATATATATATATATATATATATATATATATATATATATTCGGATGATTTAGAGTTCAATCTCTGACTCAAATGAAATAAACATTTTAGGCAATATATATTTTCTTCTTTTGAAAAAAATTGATAAAATAAATTTAAAAATAGAAATTGCAGACCTTAGAACCAAGTGGAAAATCCCAAGAGGTAGCGTGAAGTTGTCTTCTCAACCAGCGATCAGCCGCAGAAATTTTCCTGCTAACGTCAATCAACAAAGCCACGGCCATATCAGCAACATCCGCCGAGAAAATATTCCCGGCGTTGGCGACTTGGATTCCCCGCCGGCGGCACTCGGAGAGGTCAATATGATTAGTTCCGGCGCTGGGAGTGCAGATGAAACGGAGAGAGGGAAGAAGTCGGATGTCATCGGCATTTACGGGGTGGAGATTGATAGTGACGATTGCGGCGATGGAGGAGGCATGGTGAGGATTTGTGGCTATGAATTGTTGGAGAGGGAGAATTGAAGAAGGGTTTAAGATATGGAAATTGTGAGAAGGATTGGGACGGAGGATAGTGACGGAGAAGTTGGGAGGACCGTGAAGAGGACCGTGAAGGAATACTTTTGGGAGATTGTTGTTTCGGGATTTGTCGGTGTTGACTTTGTTATCCTTGTTTTGATTCTCCATTGGATTAGATAATGGTGAGACTAAATTGAAAGGGAGAAAGGCTAGTTTGGACAAAAATCCAAATATTTTATATTTATTTATTTAAGCATACTTACATAATAAATAAATTTTAAGAAAAAAGTCAAAATAATAATTCTCACTTGAATAATATAATACTACTAACATTTTTTAATTTTTTTTAGAATAATAAGTATTGAAAAAAAAAATATCAATAATCAATTTTTTGAAAAAAATTATCTAAATAATCAGATTTAGAATTTGGACAAAGTGGTTAAGTCAGATGAAAAGGTGCATGCACCATTTTTAAAAGAGTAATGCTATTTAGTATGAAATATTTTGAAGAAGAAATGTAAGAATGCACACATGTCATTATTTTAGAGGTGAATTTTAAATTGATTTTTAATTTTAATCTTTTTTTTAATAGGGATCATGGGATGATGGTGATATTTAATGGTAGAGATTTATTCTTGTATTTCTTATTTTCATGTTTTCTTACTAATAAGCATTTTCCTTTTTAAAGAGGAGATGCCATATGAGATGGTGTCTAAGTTATTTGATTTTGCATCAACCACCTCATATGGCGTCAAGGTGCAAATATTTGACATTTTTTAATTTTTTAATTTTAAATAATAATAATAAATAATTTATAAAAAAATAGATTTATAATTTAATAAAACGATTACATTCAGGGAATAAAAATTACATATAATTTAATTATCGTCCAGCAGTCGAAAACGACCTGTGATTCTGCGCTAGCATCCTCTCCTAACTCATTGTATGAGTCTACAAATTTTCTCTTGTGGTTGTGGTTGGGTCGAGGCCCTGCTAGCTCAATGTGGTCAGGGTCCATGAAATCCGTCTGATTACCGTATCAAGAAGATCCACTTTCAAAAAGTTAGTTATCCATGTTCTCAAAGTTTGGTCGTCTTACTGGGAGTATGAGTTCCATAGTTGGTCGATAGCATTGGTCATCGGAATAAGTGGAGTACAAAGGAAATGAATTTTGTGGAGTTTGGTACGCATATGTTTGATGGATGATATGGTGATGTGATGGTTGATGGTATATTGAGTCGGTTGGGGAATATTTCTCAGGTAGGCCCATGTTTGAGCTAAGGTGAGATGTTAAGGGGCACACATTGGAATGTCAGATGTATGATCTTTGTTCTTGGTACTGTGATTGTGTGTGATATGTGTGTGTATTGGTATTGTGATTGAGGCTGGGTGCTCGTGGATCGGTAATGTCGTTCTATTGGTTGGGAGGTTGATGTGTGTTGGGTTTGTTGTTGGGTGGTGTATGAATGTTGGTAATGTTGTTCGGCATTTGAAGACGATGCAACTCGTGTGCATGGGTTGATCAAATACCTCGGGTCGGACACAAACATTTGAGGTGTAGTAACTGATTCGTACCAACGCAAATATTCTTCTGTGTGTTGCATTATTTGGTTCGTGGGGGAAACATGGAATTATAGCACATGTTGGTCGCGCATTTTCCACATCCGACACCATTCTTTAGCGTATTCTCTCCAATTGTTATAATTCCACAAGTAGATGCCAAGGTGACAAACAAGTCGGGGGCCTGGTATTTCTTGATGCATGTCGAACTGCATTTTGACACAGTCGTTGTGGTGCATTTCCACAACGTTGAACCGTATGATCGTAGTTTTTGCAATACAAACTGCTACATCCTCGAGGTCGGGTTGATGATCCAGACCTAGATATGATCTCCAAATAAACTGCAATTTTTTTATTATAAATGTTGTATCCTAATTTTTTACCTAAGATCCCACCTCTTTTTGCATCATTTACATAGTATCAAGAGATCATATCATTGTTTATTTCACAAGATATGTGTGTTGGATCAAGAAGTTCAAGTATTTGATTGATCAGAGACATATGGTTCCTTAATGATTCAAGCTTCTTATTCATTCATGATGATCTAGTGATTTCCCTTCATCAATAATCAAGCTTGAGTGTGCACTATTTCATGACATTTATTCAATCATTCATGCGCATTTGCATTTCTCGATATTCTTGAGTTTATTGACTTTGGTTGTGTTTATCCCAAAAATAGTTTACTTCCTTTCGCCAATGATATCTTTACTCCCTCTAATAGAGTGTCAGCTATAGATAGAAATGTATATATTCCTTTTGATTCCCCACTGAGTTTGTTCCTCGTGGGAAGGTTTTGCTTTACTTTCCCCGCCCATATCTGGATAGGATAAATCCCCAATCAAGCTTATTTCTCATTGGAAAGAGTTTTGTTTGATAGTGTTATACAGGGAGAACTGACTTGTTTTGCATTTTATCGCAAATATCGCAGATAGCAAGAGTTACCATCGACTTTTCTTTTATCCAATAAAGGAAAGGGTGAAAAGAACAGGAAAGACCTTTTGAAAATTTTCTTGTGTTCGGGGGGTAGGTTATGAAAAGGGAAGGTGTTAGCACCCTTTTTATTCGTAGTTATCTACGGGCTCTTCATCACTAGCTCACTTTTTTTTTTAAATTGCTTTGTGTTGTGTATGTTTGAAAAATGTTTTAAAATTTGCCAATGTGAGGCAAGACTTTATAATGATCCTTGTATCTGTCCTCGAGAATACGTACAAAGTATTTGTTTGAAAATATTTTGAAAAAGTGTAATTGTATGAAAAAATGTTTTGTTTTTGTGAGCAAGGGATTAACAACGTTCTACCTACTCAAGGTCTTTATTGTAATTTTCCTCCTACGTTAGATAGTGCTATCTTACCATTAGTTATTACAAAACCCTATCGTTGGATGTGAAGGGACATACGTGGGTCATCGTACAGTCATCTAAGACAACTCGTAAGGACGCTTTAGCAATTATCGTTAAGGGACTAGATCATTTACCGAAGGCAACATCGAAAGGGTCATCGAGGGACTATGATCTTTGTTTTCGAGGGACTTTGCTAAAGTGTCCCTACTTTTGAGGGACATGAATGTTTTGTAATCCGAAGGCAATAAGGGAGGTTACCCTAGAGGTACGAGTGTGCAAGGTGTGTTGTTTTTCAGTTATATTTATATTTGCAGTTACGGTTAGCTATCGATTCGTTATTATCTTGCCATACAATACCTAATTACTAACAACAATAATATAGCAAAAAAACTGTAAAGGTGAGGAAAGTAAATACGAAAAGAAAACCCTATACTATTATAATGCTTCAGGGAAGTTACATAATAGAAATGCAGAAAGTAAACCCTAATTACTATTACAAACCGAGAAATAATTACAATAACGAGGAAAATGCGAGAAGAATAAACTACGCGAAAGAAAGAATATAAGAATAAAAAAAGAACAATGTTTTTTCAGTGATTTCTTTGATGAAAAAGGTTCTTGATGATTAAATAAACCTAAAAAAGGCTAATTAATTTTAATTAAAAAAAGTTAATTAATTAAATTAAAAACCTAAGAACCTAATTTGATTAGGGTTTATAAAAAAAAGAGGTTTTGAAAAATTAGGTTTGTTAAAAAAGGTTTATGGTTTATGAATTTAGGGTTTTTAAGGAAAAAGGATAAAAATAGGAAAAAAAAAACAAGTTTTAAAAATAAACTACCAGGGGTGGGTGTTGAACCCACGCCCTTAGCCTTTCTGCCCAGCACCTTCACCATTGTGCCAAGCGCGCACTTGTGTTAAGGAATGGAAACCAACGCGCTATGTAACCTGTAAAACATGAAAATATAAAAATAAATCAAAACACCAAAAGGAAGAGATCGAACCCGTACCCTGGAATAATTATGCCTTAGCGCACGCGTTTTAACCACGGGGGTGGTGATACATCCATTATTATAACTGAAATGAAACAATTATATTACAAAATCAATGCCTGGACTGGAGAGGCGTCGGAGCCCTAGCTCCGGTAGTCTTCTCTGATGAGTATATTTTTTAAACCTACGAAACAACAAACATTAAAGGTCCCAAAAGACCCTACCCCCCTAATTCAAGGCTTGCGAATTCAATGAGAGTATTGGTTTGGGCTGAAACATATTGTAACAAGAGATATGGCCAAAATATATGGAATCGGTGCAATCATGGTGATGCACGATTCTTGCAGCATGGGATTCCTACGATGGTCCAATCCTGTACTAATGAATCTCAGAAATGCATCAATAATGTTAGCTTCAATTAAAACATCAATAAAACTGAAATATGAATTTATGAAATAATAACAAATCGATGATGCATGCAGTGGTGTTTCGAGCCCTTTGGATCATCAAGGATGATCCATTCTCACCCTACTCTGCTCTAGGAAGTGAATGGAAGGGTTAATATACCTTGAGAGTGGCTGCAATAAGGGTTTGCAAGTTTCCCTAATTTGAATGATTTTGGAGTTTTTGGAAGAGGTTCTTGCACAAGAGTTTCGTGTGAGCCTTTGTCTGAATGGGGAGGATATATAGGGGGAAATTAGGTCAAATGAACATGGGCTTGGACTTGTACGAAAAAGCCTTATTTTTATCTTATTTATTTTGAATTTTAAAATTAATAAAAATCAAAATAAATAGAATAAAAAGGTCAAGGGGCACATGAAGTAATTAAGAGGTTCATATGAATTGAATGCGCATGGACCTTGAAACAATAGCCCATTAGCCCCAAAATCCAAGTTTGGTCACTTTAGGTTTCATGCATTTTCTAAAAAATTTCCCAAGTTGCACCAATCATAACTCTCTAAATTTTTATCATTTGAAGGTGATATTTTACTTTTTGGAAATCTCAAAATGTCATCTACAATCCCTAGTTTGATCATTTTTGCATTTGAAGCATTTATCTTGATGTAAGTTGCCTTAACAAAAAGTGTCTTTTTGTTGACTTTTGAAATGACCTATAATGTATTGGCCTGTATCTCTTAAATGAAGCATTTTTTGGTCTTGAGCTTAGAGAGACTTAGTTGTATAGAATTGAATTTCCTTAAAAAATTAGCTTTGGTTGAGAAAAATATGCGAAGCATGTGAAAGTTGTGCTTGGTCAAAGTTCAATTGACTTCTCCTT